GATTTGTTTATATGTATAGTGTGTATGAATATGTTTAATGAGATGATTGTATGATTTGTTTATATTTATAGTTTGTATGAATATGTTTAATGAGATGATTGTATGATTTGTTTATATTTATAGTGTTTATGAATATGTTAATCCGAGTTGATTGTATGATTTGTTTATATGTATAGTTTGTATGAAAATGTAAAGTCACTTGATTGTATGATTTGTTTATATTTATAGTTTGTATGAATATGTTAACTGAGTTGATTATATGATTTGTTTATATTTATAGTTTGTATAAATATGTTTAGTGAGATGATTGTATGATTTGTTTATATGTATAGTGTGTATGAATGTGTTTAATGAGATGATTGTATGATTTGTTTATATTTATAATTTGTATGAATATGTTAACCGAGTAGATTGTATGATTTGTTTATATTTATAATTTGTATGAATATGTTTAATGAGATGATTGTATGATTTGTTTATATTTATAGTGTGTATGAATATGTTAACCGAGTTGATTGTATGATTTGTTTATATTTATAGTTTGTATGAAAATGTAAAGTCACTTGATTGTATGATTTGTTTATATTTATAGTTTGTATGAATATGTTAACTGAGTTGATTGTATGATTTGTTTATATTTATAGTTTGTATGAATATGTTAACTGAGTTGATTGTATGATTTGTTTATATGTATAGTTTGTATGAAAATGTAAAGTCACTTGATTGTATGATTTGTTTATATTTATAGTTTGTATGAATATGTTTAGTGAGATGATTGTATGATTTGTTCACATTTATAGTGTGTATGAATATGTTACCGAGTTGATTGTATGATTTGTTTATATTTATAGTTTGTATGAATATGTTAAGCATTGACTGTTTACGATGTTGGAAATGTATAGGCGAATGGTGTTCAGAGAATCCTTATGATGATTATAGAGTGGACAAGGTAACTTGTCCTGTAGATGCATCTTGTATGGTAAGTCTTGCGTATTTTTTTATTTTTTTGTCGCCGATTTTTGTCGCCGATGCGAATATTGAGTGAAATCTTAAGTGTGTCCACGACAAGATTATCTCATTGCCTACAGGATATTGAACAACCAGTTCGATAATTTATAAAATGTTTGATATTTGTAATATTAATTTTTTTTTAATTATTTTTTTCTTCGTTTGACCGTAATCACAACGAAACAAGACTCCACAGAGTGTCATTTTAATCTCAATTGACATATCGTGATTATCAGCATAGAGAAGACGCCCAAGTCAGCCACAAGTGAAATAGTGACTGACTCCAGTAGATTGAGACTGACTTTTGCAATTAGTTGAAAACTTGCTATTCAGTTAGTAACTATATAATTTGATGTATATTACATATATTATGAAGAACGTAATTGTATGTATTCAGCTAACTTTTAAATTAAGGAACTTTCAAAGAAGATATGCATTTAATTTATTATGCAAAATGGCACTAATAGTATATTAGTACATATTCCATGCATGATAAAAGTTTGATTGTTGATTCAAAATCAGTAAAGGACACCTTCTCTTTAGGATCCTTAAACTTAACTTTCCAGAAAGCTGTGCTAAAAAAAGAAGTTTTAAGTAGTGGGCACCATGTTTTATTATACAAATACTTGCATAACAGCTTTCAACTCGTTGAGAAAAACTCGACGACGACTGCTGAATAAAATTCGACTGACGATTTCGACTAATTGTAACGACTTCGAGGCCTAGCATAGATGAAAATGACAGACTGGAGATTTTCTGTCTCCTCATGTGAATCTTAAACTTGCAGCAGATACTCGTTAAAGGTACAGATGCGCAATTTTGAATCTTGAATATATATAAATAGTCTTCAGAGTATGATGCGTAATTCCTTCAAAAAGATTTCAAACGAGTAAATCCTTTTCCCTTTTACTATAGATGTATTTTTTACATATGGCAGTGTCTCAAGAAATACAACTCGTCTGTTTAACTTTCAAACGCAGATTTGACACAGGGATTTGAATGCTCAAATTTTGACGATGAGCTGTAAGCACTATTACTATTGTTAGCTAAAATATATTCCGTTTCTGAGACTAGGGTATGATCGGTCTATAATAGCTCATCTGTCCCTTTAACAACGTCTTTATTCCTTCTATTTCCGAGTATTAGTATTTCTCAATGTAAACTTCCATCAATTTTAGATCAATGTCAATCAATTTCTTATACCATTTTCTTTCAGAAAGTGTATTATAAAATGTACGACAATTCGTCCCAGTTGATAGAAAGTGTAACGAGAGGATGCTCAGTGGGACAGTGTATACCTACTTCCGGTGAGAGTTATCGAATCTGTCTGTCTAATATCAGAATATACGGCATAGATGGCTGTCCTTTAAAATCCTGCTGTGACAATCATGATCTGTGTAATGCTGGTTCAAACTCACATGATCAATCCTTACTTAGCTTGATAATTCCGTCGTTATATATGGCTTGGAAATTGTTTGAAAATCCATAGATTGACAGGTATATTGATCTGTGATGTGATCACGAGTATTCTTCATTTCATTAGGTACTAATAGTGTTTGAAACTTGTTGACGAGGGTGTATGACATGCTATGCTGTTATGATCAGAAAGAAAGATGCATTCCCTAGTAAATTTGACCATAGTTCTATTCGGATAAAATTATTTGTGTGGTGTTTATTTGTGATGAAAATTTTAGCAAACTGATTAATTGTATTCCATTCCATGTCCATGTCAAATGTGTAAACTATTATTCTATATTGACTTAATATTTGTGTGTTTTGTGGCTGGAAATTTGTAAAAATTCCAGTGTGTGAACTGTATCCGAAAGTGTGAAATCTTTAGTGTTTTTGTAACTTTGTTACTGTTTTAGCGTTTTAGTGTAATAAATCTATTATACCACGATCAATGGACATTACTACGATACCTGTATTTTGATTGTCCGGGGGGGGGGGGGGGGGATCAACTTCCCACCCCAACTAGGTACCCCCAACATTTGTCGTAGGGCCCTGGATCCAACTGAGCCTTGGGTGGGCTAATCACTCGGTCTGTGATAGTGATGGTAATAATGTTTATGTGGTGTATTCAGTGGTTGTATGGTTTTTTTTCACCTCTACAACGGTGGGTGTAATATTCCGAATTCCCGAACCGTCCGAACTGTCCGAATTGGGTCAGAAAAGACAAAAGTCACAAAATTTGATGCCAATGTGAATGATGGGAACAGGCTAACGTGCAGCGAGTAAAATGCCCCCCTGCCCCACTCCCCCCTCTATCACAGTGTTTCAATCCTTGACTGCAATTGACACCTTTCTTGTATCATAGAAGTTTGTATCTGTAGCTAACGGCTTAGATTGTAATTCTAATACATGTATGTATTGATGAAATCTCAGTCAAGTTCGAAATTGGTAATAATCGGATGAACTTTTTCAGAATTATTGCCCTTGACTTGATCTTGATGAAACTTGGTATGCATCTATATATTGATTTGGTCTCGGTCAAGTTCGGAATTGGTAATAATCGGATGAACAGTTTTAGATATATGCAAATGTTTCTACAGGGAAGTAACTCTTTAACAAGCTTAAGAAAGCTTAAGAAAGAGGATTTCTAAAAAAAACACAAAAAACACCCAAAAACACGGACTTCATATACAATCATTTGCATAAATGTTTTAGTGATCTGAGTCCTATAATTATATACATGTATATGGCATGAGTAAATTAGTTGTAGATCTGATCTTGTAGGTTAATAAATGAGTTTCCTCCCTTGTTATGGTAGTTCTGATTCCTGATGATAAAATGACGTTTACTACCTGATTATCTTTAACCTTTACTAAGGTTGAAACCTTGATTTTGATTTCAAGGAAAGAGCTTTAATCTCAATTCGACTACGTAACCTTACAACAAACGGAACATTAAGAAGAATCATTTTCCTGCTTTTCTACACCATATTGAGCTATCTGTGAAGAGAAGAGCCATACATGATGCACCATGCAATGATGAGAAAATTTGGTAAGGACATTTTAATTAATCTACTATTTGTCGATTTCCTACCGACCGAGGTTTTTAAAATGCACATTCCGCGGCACATGGGCCTTCATTCAATCGATTGTATAGATGGTGAAGGAGGAAAATATAGAGGACTAATGACACGATAATATGATCTATTGATGATGGCATTTATCTATTACCATCATTTTCTGTGGTTAATTAGTATTAAAACCTTTAATAAACTCTATCAGGAAGGTACTAGTAGATATTTACATTGACGCCTCGAAGTCTGGACGCTGTGTTAACATCTTCTGAGTAAATATCAAAGGAGAAATGTGTCAGCAGGACAACAGTAGTCCACCCTCTGGTTTGTAAAATAACGTTGATGCCTGGTGACGCTTTATCTATATCCGGACAAAAGTGGTCTGTCTGCTGACAATAGTGATGTATTTACAACGAGACAACAGAGGACGATAAAAAATCTCAAGTAGGTCTACTAAGAACCGCTAAACACAACAAAAAAACATATTGGCAATAAAGTGGGTTGTGCAGGTAGTGAACCTTTCATATGAGGAAGTATTTCATAATGAAAAGTGTCATCCGGTATCTAGAAGAGTAAGCATACCCTGCCACAACCGTCATTGCTGCTCAATAAATATGCGGGTAAACAAACAACAGTGACTTGACTGATCAAATTTTATAGTCCAAGGGAGGGAACTGATGAACATATGATCAACTAAAATGTAAACTATCCGTCATAGTCTTTAGGTATTACGCCCTCTTAACCACCTTATTGAAATTCATATAACACTTCTAAATTGATGTTAAAAATAAGTTTGTTTCTCCGGTTTCTTGTTTCAGTTTGCATACAACTTGTAATGAATAATATTTTCAATGTTTTGGTGTGATAAAATAAATGAGTAATACATGTTCACGTTTAGTGAGGTGTGATGTGTCTAAACAAATATTACGGCAATGGACCGGTCTTCCGAGACTGGGGGTACAAGTAGGGGACAGACTGACTTCCAATTTCGGCTACTCTGTGGTGGTGGCATAGTCGCAAGACTCTCATAGAGCGTCTAAGAGGGTTCTCTCAAGAAAATTTTAGAAAAAATGACCACTTTCCTATATGGGTTAAATGCCCCCCATGTACCCACACTGGCGCCGCAACTGCAATGGAATTCTTTAGATAACCCAGAGTTTTGTGTAGTCGTTTGTTTCTGTAATCTGATAGTGGTACACATTTGTTTAAATCATAATCCGGCTCTATAAGAAGGCGGCAGCACAGTGCTGTCCAAATCTTGTTTTCTGTTTATATTATTTTCAATGAAATATATTTTTAAAGCAAATATGTCCGTTTAATTTATTGCACTGTTTTAAAATACACTCCTGCATTCCGAGACTCCTCTGTAAGAAATAATTAGTACAAGTAGACTGCAATGAAGATCGATTAAGCAGATGATGTGTGAAAAGGAAGTGAAAATGTATTATACAAAACTGAAGTTACATTTACAAATTCGATTTTACTCTTCATATGAATTCTGACTTGAAAAACGAGTTATTAAAATCGTCTAACTTAGTGGGTAGAAGATGATTGACTTGTTTACTGCCTTGCATATTCGATTATAAGTGAAGACTAAGGTGGAGTAAATCGCGATTGTTAATGATAAAATGGTATGCCATCGACTGAATCTTAATCATCAATTCAAGTGTAAAACAAATGGCAAGATATTTTTCTCAACATTATAGTCAATAAACTTTTTACTTCTTACAATCAACAAGGCAATGTAAATAAAATTCAAGCTCTCTTGTGTAGATTTCTTACGGTTTGTATTAAGCTAATTAATATGCGAAAATAGATGTTGGTAATATTTTAAAACAGTGGCGAAGCCACAGGGGCAGCAGAGGGGGCAAGTTTTTCGGGCAAAAATCTCATAACTAGGTTTGAAATTCGGGCAATCTCAGTTAGAAATTCGGGCAATCTCAGATTATTTCTTCAAAATTTCCCCCATTGAATACTACAATGCATTGACCATAAGGTGCAGAACAGTAGAACATAAAACTTCATTCATTTCATTTGAACAACCACTAATTTCTTATTCATGGCCTTAAAATTCTGAAATTGTTAAATACAAAATTATCTTTCACACGGCAATCAATTGTATCAACAGAATCCAGTCAATTTCTGTTCAGTTAGCACGATTTGGTCAATATATGCCTTCCTTTATTTCTGTAAATCTTTGTTTTTTTTTTCGTTGGTTCCTGATAAAATATTAATTCTAGAGGCAGAAAAAGGAAATATGACTTCCTCATCAACAACCAAGGAAGCCATTTCAAAATATTCTGTTTTGCGCAGTAACAATTTAATGTCATAATATAATGATATACTGGTAAGCACTTTTACGAAGCGCAGAAGATAATTACGAAAAATTGGAGAGTACAAATCTTTTTAATTTTATTACCAGGTAGTGACTGTAAGTTCCTTTCAGGATTCTGAATATGACGACTTCCCTCAATAAATCATAACCATATTGTGATTTTCTCTTAGGTTTTCCGTGAAATCTTTTTCATGTCAGAGAATATAGCCTGACTGAATAGAATGACTAAAACAATATTTATAAAGATTCAAATATTGTATGCTGGACTACAAAGCAACTATTTACCCACAAAATTTCAGAATTATCCCTAGATTAAAGAACCCTGCAGTAGGGGTTATTGGATGTGTAAACTTTGCAATGCAAGAAAATGTAAGACAATCATTTAAAAAAAAATGATACATCGATTGACAAGAGTATGGTAAATGTTATTTTCTTAGGTCGATATTCTATTGTTATTTTAATTCTCTTGATTGTACTCTAAGTACATACTTATTAAAATAGATTAATCCGAGCTTTTACATTCTAATTTTTGAACAAACAAGCTTATACATGAAGGTCACGCCAATCATATATATACTCAGTGTTTTTTATTTAAGTTAAGACGTTTGTTTATTAGAAAGTTGAAGAATTTTGTTACGGTGACAATTTTAACCATGTGATTAAATTACTGTGATCAATTTATCTTTTGACCAAATTATTGTGACCAATGACAATAAAATTACTGTGACCACATCATGTTGACAAAAAAATGTGTTGGCCGAAGTATTGTGACCATTTGGCTGTGACATTTTTTTTGTAAAAAGGATTTGTTTTTGACCAATTTACCTCGTTACCAAATTCCAATGACCAACTAACTGTGATAAAATTCCAAATTCCGGCGAACAAAAAGATTTGAATGCTGAATGCAAGTTTAATATCAACCGGCGAAAACAAAAATGGAATAATTGGAATAACTCTTGAATGATGCAGTTGAACTGGACAATCTTAAAAACTGTTCATTTCGAGTATTAAGTCTATCATTCAAATTATGTAAAATATGATTGATTCTTCACACCTATAACTCTGTTATTTTCTGTTGATAATAATCACTTGATTTTTAATGGCTTTCCATCAACAGTGTTAATAACTT